CAACTGTTAGCACTTTCCCGATTATCCCCGATAGCTCGATCTCGATCCCAAGCATCGACCTCGAGGCCCCTCATCGGTTATTCTGAGGCCCAAATAGCTAACCCTTCGGTTTGGTTATAACTCCACTTTAGTTCGCATTTCCTCTTTATTTTTCACATATCTAGCATCAACTACTTAACAACTAGCATAAAACTAGATCACGTATTTTTAGAGTCACATCAACAAATTTAATTGTTATTACTATTTTCACGGTAAACAAATAACACAAGCGCGCAATATATCCTCCAATATCTGAATAGTGCGCTCGGACTGCCCATCCATCTAGGGGTGAAAATCTATGCTCAACTCAACCTAAGTACCCAACTCTCGCTGCACGGCTCTCCAAAACTGCAAAGTGAACTGAGTACCTCTATCTAAAATGATGGAAACTAGGACACCATGCAAGCGAATGATCTCTCGGATATAAATCTCTGTTAACTGCTCTGAAGAATAGGTAGTACACACATGAATAAAGTGCGCGGACTTGGTCAGCCGATCCACAATCACCCAAATAGAATCAAACTTCTTCAAAGTCCGTGGGAGTCCAACTACAAAATCCATGGTGATCCGCTCCCACTTCCATTCTGGAATATCTATCTGCTGAAGCAAGCCACTTGGTCTTTGATGCTCATATTTCACCTGCTGACAATGGAGACACCGATCTACAAATCCCACTATATCTTTCTTCATTCTCCTCCACTAAAAGTGCTGTCTCAAATCCTGATACATCTTTGCGGTACCCGGATAGATGGAATACCGTGAGCTATAGCCCTCCTCCAGAATCAACTCCCGAAGCTTGTCTACATTGGGCAAATATATCCAACCCTGTATCCTTAATACCCCATCATCACCAATAGTCACATCTCTGGCATCGTCGTGCTGAACTCTGTCCTTAAGGACAAGCAAATGAGGATCATCATACTAGCGCTCTATGATGCGATCAAACAAGGAAGACCGAGAAACCACACAAGCTAAGACCCGATTGGGCTCCGAAATATCCAACATCATAAACCGATTACCCAAGGCCTGAACATCCACTGCAAGAGGTCTCTACCCAATATGAATATATGGCAAACTGTCCATACTCACCGCCTTCCTACTCAAGGCATCGGCTACTACATTGTCCTTCCCCGGATGGTACAAAATAGTGATATCAGAGTCTTTTAGCAGCTCTAACCATCTCCGCTGCCTCAAATTGAGATACTTCTGCTTGAACAAGTGCTGGAGGATACGATGATCAGTAAATACCTCACAATCAGTAAATAACTTAGACTGCCTAAGCCAGACCAGTGCACACTGATAGAATCTGGGCTAGGCCTCCTGAAGGCCTGGAATAACAATCGGCACAGCCTGTGCCTGAGCTGGTCCTACTAGAGCGTCCGTAACTAGGACCTGATCGTGAACTGGGGCGGTTGGTGGATCTGCAAGTGTTGCCCTAGCTGTTGTGTGGGCTACACCCTCTGCCCTTACCATGGCCTCGGCCTCTAGTGGCCCCAACTAGTGGTACTAGTGGTCGTCCGTCCTGACTGGTAGCACGTGTCCTCACCATTTGTGAGAGAATAGAATAATAGAAGTTTAGTACCAGAATCAACAGATTCGCATGACAGGAATTTCAAGAGTATGAATCTTTTCCTAAAGGTTCTGCAGCCTCCCGAAGATAAGTACAGATGTCTCCATACCGATCCGAGAGACTCTACTAAACCGGCTCATAACTGGTGAGACATATGTAACCTAGGCTCTGATAACAACTTGTCACGACCCCAAACCACCCCGATCGTAATAGCGCCTATCACAATACTAGGCCAGCCAATTCAACACTAACAACATAAAGGTCTTTTGTAAATTCATTTTTTTCTAATCAAGTATGATCAACAATCTTTTATTTTAATATCTCAAAATAAGCGGAAAACAAATACGCAAACCCGATCCTGGTGTCGCTAGTCATGAGCCACTAAGATACAGTTCAATACTGTCTACTCAATACAAGATAAGACTGAAATATATAATACTAAGGATAGGAAGCAGAAAGGCAGGTCTGCCGACGTCGTGCAACTACCTTGCTATCTCAGGAAAATACTCAAAAGTTGTTGGATGCTCTCACTTGGATGCTCTGGCACCTGGATCTGCACACAAGGTGCAGGGAGTAACGTGAGTACGCCAACTCAGTAAGTAACCAAAGTAAATAAAGGCTGAGTGCAGTGACGAGCATTTTAATCATATACATAGTTTAACATGGAGTCTCAATAGGAATAACAAAGTCAAATTCGTAGTTCAATTTCCGAACATCTCATAAACACTCCAATTTCAATGAAAGTTATTTAAAATATTTGTTCAACATTTTTCAATATATGCTCGATATAAAAGAAGAGTGAAAACAGTAATTTCATAAACAAGCCCCTTGGGCAAAGTATCACTCATATATATATAGCCCCTCGGGCAAGCCTCTCAGTCATTCGTGACTCAACTCTCATCAATCAGCACTCATACCTAGCACTCCCGCTCAATAGATATCTCATAATAACAATCGTTACAGCATGCAGCCCGATCCGTAAATATATATATATATATAGTCAACTGCGCTCACTGGGGGTGTGCAGACTCCGGAGGGGATCTTACAGCCCAAGCGATATATCGCTGTGGTGTGCAGCCCGATCTATATACATATCAATATAGTTGTAGTGTGCAGCCTGATCCATAAATATATATAATCCTCACCATCAGGTCCTTGACCTCTCTCAATCATCAATTTCACAGCCACTCGGGCATTTCAACGAAAAAAATCAGGGGACTCATCCCAAACAATTTTCATATATTTGAAAATAGAGTAATGAAACTGAATCAAACAATAAACAGGAAAAATCATGATTGAGGATATGCTTTTGAATCAAAACAGTGTGAGGATAGTAGTAAAATACCCCTAAGGTTCAAAATAGTTTGCACAAGGCCCCAAACATGGCATTCAATCCAAGTTAACAGATTCATACCTAAAATACATAGATATCATATAGAGATTATCAAAATATGCAACTCTACAATTGCCACGGGACGAACCAAGTCACAATCCCTACGAGTACATGCCCACACGCTCGTCACCTAGCATGTGCGTCACCTCATTTATCAAAGTAGTACGAATTTTTTTGGGTTTCATACCCTCAGGTATAGATTTACAATCGTTACTTACCTCGAACCGGACGAAAATCTACTCCGCAATGCCCTTTACTCTCGACTCGGCCTAAAATTGTCCCGAATCTATCCAAAATCAGAATCACATCATCAATACATGCCAAAGGGACAAAGCACACACAAAAATTATCAAATTAAACTCAAAATCCCAAAATTGGCCAAACTTGACCCCGGACCCATACCTCAGAATTCGATAGAAATCACATCACTAGGATCATCATCCTCCCACGAGTCTATACATACTAAGATCATAAAAATCAGACCTCAAATGGCCCCTCAAATCCCCAATTTTAACTCTCCAATTTCAAGCCCTATTCCCCAATTTATTCTCTAGTTTTCCGACGAATTTCATGATTAAACAATGGAATAATCACCATAAATATAAGATACAAAGCCCAAGTAGCTTGCCTCTCTGAATACACTTGATTCCCTCTTGATATCACAGCTTGGAGCTCCAAAATAGACCAAAAATGGTGGAAGAGTGACTAAAATTCGCGAAGTGGTGTTTATATAGTTTCTGCCCATGGATTCCGCATATGCAGCTCCTTTTCTCGCTTCTGCGGTCAAACCAACCACACCTACGATTTTCACTTAAAGCCCCCAGGCCCATATTTACACCCAGGCACCGCACCTGCGGTCCCACAGATGCGCTCGACATACTGCACCTACGGTTCTTCTTCTGATGGCCAACTTCCTCATCTGCGGTCTCCTCCACGCACCTGCGACCTTTCACCTGCGGTCCCCAATCCGCAGGTGCGGAAATGACAGAAGCAGCAGCTGAAGCTGCTCAATTTCAAGTACAATCTTTCCGATAACCTTCCGAATTCATCCCGAGGCCCCCGGGACCTTAACCAAAAATACAAACAAGTCACATATTATCACTCACACTTATACAAACCCTCGAAACACTCAAAACAATGCCGAAACATCAAATCAGCCTCGGATTCAAGCCTAAGAATTTCCAAACATCCGAATTTCGCACTGATCCAAAAGTTTATCAAACCTCATACGAATGACCTGAAATTTGCACATACGTCACAAGTGACACAATGGACCTATTCCAATTTTTGGAATTCCATTCCGACCTCGATATCAAGATTTCCACTGCCGACCGAAAAATGCCAAATTTCCAATTTCGCCAATTTAAGCCTAAATCTACCACGAACCTCCAAATTATATTCCAAACATGCTCCTATGTCCAAAATCACCTAACGAAGCTATCCGAACCATCAGAATTCACATCTGAGAACTTCTACACATAAGTCAACATCCGGTTGATTTTTCCAACTTAAGCTTCCAAATAATAGACTAAGTATCTCATTTCACTCCATGACCATTCCGAACACAGAACAACCAATATGATATGATGAAATACAGCTGAACAACATATAAAGAAGAAGAAATGGGGAGAACATGCCTGTAACTCATGAAACGGCCAGTCGGGTCGTTACACATATAAAGTTTGAAGTTATAGTAGATTTATAAGCACAAATGGTTCGTTTAGTCATGTTTAGTGATCAGGTGTCGGTCCCGATTTGTTCAGAAAATGGGTCGTGACAAACTTAGTATCAGAGCGTTAGGTTTATGGAGTCCTAGAGGTCTATGAAGCCGTGTCAGTAGAGTCTTGTTTATGGGTATGAAGCGCGCCATACTTATAAACAGGAGGCTACAAGCATTTAGGAAAAATCTCATATATTTTTTTTCATAATTTAGATCGTGCAGTAGAGCCTACCTCTAAGAAATTATCTAATGTAGTCATTTCTCCAAAACTCGTAGAAATGGTTCGTACTCGCAACTCTAATACCGACACTCAGGATGTTACTCAAGAAACTATTGCTACTATTATGGCTAAAGGTAGAACTAAGAAGGCTTCAACTCAGAAAAGGAAGAGTAAATACACAAAGGGGGTTCAAGTACCCAGGTTGAACATGAAGAAGGGGTGGAGCATGATGATCCTGTACCTTAGGATCCAGTGCAGCCCCCAACAGCAGCTCCGGCTCAGACAGCTATATCTCCAGAGGTGGGTCAGATGTTTAATGCTGTCAACAGTGCTATGGAGATGTTTAAAGCCTTCATGGCCAGCCAGAATGAGAGAAGAGATGCGATCCCACCTCAATCAAATAGACAGAACAATTTTGAGTCCTCAAAAGTGAATGAATTTTTAAAGTTGAGTCCTCAATTGTTCCATGGTTCTATAGCTGATGAAGATCCAATGTTATGGCTGGAGGGTGTCAAGAAAGCCCTTCGAGCGATGAAGGTATTTGATAATGAAGCTGTGGAGCTGGCTGCTTACCAGCTTAGAGATATGGCTGGCGCTTGGTTTGAGATGTGGGAAAAGGAAAGAGATGAAGATGATGGTCTGCCTACCTGGGAAAAATTTGAAGAGGCCATCATGTCTAACTTTATCCCGGAAGAGGATAGGGAAGCTAAGGCTACAGAGTTCGAACAGCTCAAGCAAGGGAATAAAAGTATGCAAGAGTACTACATGGAATTCATAAGGTTGGCTAAGCATGCTCCTCACATGGTTAAGATAGAAAAAGCAAAGATTCACAGGTTTGTTGGCGATTTGGATTACCATATTAAGGATACAACATCAGCTGCAACGGTAAGAATGACAACTTTCTCCTCTGTTGTGGGATTCACCAAGCATTTAGAAAAAGATAGACAACAAATGAGAGAAGAAAAGGAGCATAACAAGAAAGCCGGGACAGTGGGTAGGTTTAATGGTACATCTAGCGGAGGTGGAAGGGGTTCCTCCAATAAGGAGTCATTAGCACCAGCTTAGTCCAGTCATCAGTCAGATGGTGGGTCTTTCTTCAGAAGTACTCAGAGTTATGGAAACCAGTCTCGCCAGAATCAGAATTTTAGGACATCATCCTCACATAGTCAGAGTCATGCTGAGCAACATTCACAACAACAAGGTCTTTGTGGAACATGTAAGTGGCAACATTTAGGTCAGTGCAAGCTTGGGTATTATGGTTGCTATCATTGCAGAGACATTGGTCAATATAAAGGCTAACTGCCCAAAGTTGCGACATAATTTCAGTGGTGGATCAACTCGCCCTTCTAGTTCCTCAGCTACTACAGTTGCACCACCACAGGCTCGTAGTTCTCATAATCAGGTCGAGCCTGGAGTAGGCAGAGGTGCAAATTGAGTTACTCAAGGAGGGGGACAATCCCGTTTGTTTGCGACACTTGATCGTCAGAGTACATAGGCATATGCAGAAGTTATTACAGGTATACTTCTAGTCTTCTCACATAACGTTTACGCCATAATGGATCTAGGTTCAACAATTTCATATGTGACTCCATACTTTAAAATTAACCTCGGGGTAGAACCAAAACAACTTAGTGAGCCATTCCTAGTATCTACTCCAGTTGGCGAGTCAGTGAAAATCACAAGAGTCTATAGAGATTGTATAGTTTCAGTCCAAGGTCGCAACACCGAGGCCGATCTCAGAGAGTTAGAAATGGTAGATTTTGATATGATCATGTGTATGGATTAGTTGTCATCCTGCAATGCCATGTAAGATTGTCGTGCCAAGATAGTCAGGTTCCAATTTCCAAATGAAGAAGACTTAGAGTGAAAGGGTAGTTCAGCATCGCCTGTAGGTAAGTTTATTTCTTACCTTAAGGCACAACGAATGATCGATAAGGGGTGTCTCGCCTATTTGGCTCACATCATTAATCTAGAATCAGAACCACTAGCTTTTCAGTCTGTGCCAGTTGTTAGAGAATTCCCAGAAGTTTTCCCATATGACCTTCCCGAACTTCCTCCTGAAAGAATCATAAACTTTGGCATCGATCTCATGCCAGGCACTCAGCCCATATCTATACCTCCTTATAGGATGGCTCCAGTAGAACTTAATGATTTGAGAGAACAGTTGAAAGACCTTCTTGACAAGGGCTTCATCAGGCCGAGTGTTTCACCGTGGGGTGCTCCGGTCCTATTTGACAAGAAGAAATATGGGACTCTCAGAATGTGCGTCGACTATCGGCAATTGAATAAAGTTACCATTAAGAACAAGTACCCACTGCCAAGAATTTATGATTTATTTGATCAACTTCAGGGTGCAAAGTACTTTTGAAAAATAGACTTGAGGTCAGGGTAACATTAGTTGAGAATCAGAGAAGAGGATATATCTAAAACAGCCTTTAGAACTCGCTACGGGCATTATCAATTTCTAGTAATGTCCTTTGAGTTGACAAATGCTCCAGCTGTATTCGTGGACCTCATGAACAGAGTTTTCAAGCCATTCCTTGATACCTTTATTATCATGTTTATAGATGATATTTTGGTATACTCTAAGAGCAAGGAAGATTATGCAGAATACCTCAGGATAGCCTTGCAGACCTTGAAGGAAAATGAGCTTTATGGCAAGTTTTCAAAATGTGAGTTCTGGTTGTAGTCAGTGACATTCTTAGGCCATATGGTATCTAGTGAAGGCATAAAAGTAGATCCTTAGAAGACAGAAACAGTCAAGAACTGGCTTAGGCCGACAACGCCAACCGAAATTAGGAGTTTCTTGGGGTTAGCTGGCTACTATAAAAGGTTTGTAGAGGGATTTTCCTCACTTGTAGCTCCATTAACTAAGTTGACTCAGAAAGAAGTTAAGTTCCAGTGGTCAGACGCTTGTGAGCAGAGTTTTTAAGAGTTAAAGAAGAGGTTGACCACTGCACCTATGTTAACCTTGCCGACAGGTTCGGGGGGATTCGCAGTGTATTACGATGCCTCTAGAGTGGGTCTTGGTTGTGTTATTATGCAAAATGGAAAAGTTATTGCTTATGCTTCAAGGCATTTAAAGAATCATGAGAATATCACCCGGGCAAAGCTAATGTGGTAGCAGATGCACTTAGTAGGAAGTCAATGGGTGTCTTGGCCCATCTTGCAGTACAAAGGCGATCTTTGGGTCGAGAAATTCAACAATTGGCAAATGATGGAATTAGATTGGATGAGACCGAAGAAGGAGGTGTAACTGCTTATGCCTTAGCGCAATCCTCCCTTGTTGCGCATGTTAAGGCTAAGCAAGACGAAGATTCATACTTACTAAAGTTAAAAGAAGGAGACAGAAACAAAGAAATCACTTCTTTCACCCTAAGAAGTGATGGAGTTTTGAAGTTGAATGATCGGATATGTGTGTCTGATGTAGATGGGCTTAGGAAGGCTATAATGGAATAAGCTCACAGTTCGAGGTACTCTATCCACCCAAGTGCTACCAAAATATATCTGGACTTGAAAGAGTTGTATTAGTGGAAAGGCATGAAGAAGAAAGTAGAAGATCATGTGCTAAATGTTTGAATTGCCAGCAAGTCAAAGTCGAGCATCAGAGGCCTGGTGGCCTAGCTCAAGATATAGAGATACCACAATGCAAATATGAGAAGATTAATGTGGATTTCGTAGTAGGTCTTCCTCGCACATACCGTAAGCATGATTCAATTTGGGTTATTGTAGATCAACTGATAAAGTCCACGCATTTCCTACCAAAAAAGACGACAGATTCTGCAGAGTAGTATACGTGGTTGTACATCAAAGAAATAGTCTGATTACATGGTACTCCAATTTCAATCATATCTGACAGAGGCCCTCAGTTCACAGCACAATTTTGGCAGGCATTTCAGAAAAGATTAGGTACCAAGGTCAATTTGAGCACTGCTTTCCATCCACAGACTAATGGTCAGGCAGAAAGGACTATTCAGACTCTCAAAGATATGTTGCGATCATGTGTTATAGATTTTGGAGGTAATAGGGATGATCAATTGCCATTTATAGAATTTTCTTACAATAACAGCTATCAGGCCAGCGTTGGTATGGCTCCTTATGAAGCGCTATATAGGCGAAGATGTAGGTCTCTAGTGGGTTGGTTTGAACCAGCAGAGGTGTCGTTGATTGGTCCAGAGTTTGTTTGTGAGGCCTTAGAGAAAGTCCAGCTAATCAGAGAAAGACTGAAAGCGGCTCAGAGTCGTCAAAAGTCTTATTCTGACAAGAGGCATCGTGACTTAGATTTCATGGTTGGTGACAAGGTGTTTTTGAAAGTTTCACCAATGAAAGGAGTTATGAGGTTTGGTAAGAAGGGGAAACTTAGTCCTAGATTTATTGGACCTTATGAGATTATAGAAAAGAAGGGAAATGTGGCTTATGAGCTAGCGTTGCCCGTTGAGTTGTCATTTGTTCATCCTGTCTTTCATGTGTCTATGCTTAGAAAATACATTCATGATGAGTCGGATATAATACGTGTCGACGCCAAAGAATTAAAGAAATCTTGACTTATGAAGAGGTACCTATAAAATTTCTCGATAGGCAAGTAAGAAAGTTGAGAATAAAAGCTATAGCAGCGGTAAAAGTTTTGTGGAGTAATCATGATTCAAAAGAGGCTACGTGAGAGGTCGAGGAAGATATGAGGAAGAAATATCCATATTTATTTGAGGAAAAAGGTATGTGAACCTAGGTTTGGCTTGGCATTTATATTTTATTTGTTAAATACAAGGTAGCATGTGTATGTCCTTATTAGATTATACTTAGTTGTTGAAGTAATTTAGTTTCTGTTAGAGTATATTTAGTTATGCAATAATTTAGTTCCATGCCAGAGTGTATTTAATTCATTAAAGTTATTTACTTTTTGTTGAAGTGTTGTGCTTTAGATTTTGGTTGGTTATTGTGGTACCTCCTTGCCGAAGTGTGAATAATTAGTTTATGAGTTGTGTATGGTGCCTATGAATGGCTTGTTATGGTATATTTGGTTGTTGTTGGTGTAATTGTGGTATTGGTGACTGGGATATTTTTTTTGATAGTCCAATTTATAGGGAAGACTCTGCCAAAATTTTAAAAATTTAAGGAGTTAGCCAAAATTTTGAGTCTCTTGGGAAAGTTAGTAGTGCTAAGAAAAGTTAAGAAGTTCAAGGACTTAAGGAATGATTATTAGCTTAAGAATAAGGCCCTAGCAACATTCGAGGATGAATGTTTTTAAGGAGGGAAAATTGTAACACTCCTCAAATCTGTAAAAGTTTCAAAACTCGCTAAATATAGAATTTAAATTAGTTTCTTATCTTAAATTATACTTTTATTACAGATTTAAACCCTTGTGATTGATTTTTGAGTTACTTCCCTATTTATAAAGAATTGAATACACAATTAGGGGAATATTAATAATTTTAATGTCAGTAATATTTTAAAATGGGTATTATTAATTATTAGTTAAGGCAAAACAAAATAAAAAGAGAAAAATAATAAATAAATAATAAAGAGAAAGCAATTAAGCAAAAATAAAGTCACGTGACTAAAGGGTTGGAAGGGAACAAAGAAAGGCTTAATGCCTTAGAGAAAACAGAAACACAGACGCACAGAATTACGAACAGAGGCAGCCAAAAATTGCACGAAAAAATATAGGGTTCTTGACAACTCACTTATTCTTGAACTTACGTATATAAAATTTCCTATAGTCAATTATCCTACAGTAGTAATAGGTAAGAAATGAAAAGTTAATTCCCTTCTTCCTCTGTATCAACAGTAAGTTCCATGTTTAGGTGTGAAATTTTAAAATTAATTCAAATACACTGGTTGTTGTAGAATCAAGTGTTTGACGGGTATAAATTGGACTGGAGCCTACGTATTGACTCAAAGAGTTTTGAAATTAGTAGATATAACACTTTACTAAAGTGGTTCTACTCATAAAAATATGCCCACAAAGTGTTTGATAAAATGTTTTAACGAGTCATCATGTACTTAATTGGAATGAATGAGTTAATGTTGATTAAGTGTATTCTAGTTAAAGTATATGTATTTTACTC